CTCTCTCTGACACTGAAACCACAGAAACTCAGTTATGGACAATGGGTCAAACTTTAAAGACTGGTACTTGCAGGGATATAAACAACAATCACAACTCGCTCAAATGTAACTCAACTGTGTCCCATTTCCTCTAAAGCCTTCGGAAGAGATTGTGAATACTGGGAATGGAACCTCAGCAGGGAAGAGCTGTGTCACTGTGCTATTCCCATTCTACAGACACAGGACTAGAAACGAGGATTAAGTGGTTTGTCTAAACTGATGCCATGGAAACATCCCTGGGAACATTGCTACAGGCAGGACGACTCCTGTGGTGGGAACAGGTCCTGAGGAAAGTTTCGGGAACGATTTCCCCCATAGCTTGGCGTGGGTGTGTCTCTTAATCCCACTGCGCGTTCCGTGCGGTGTTATTCTGCTGTGGGCTCGGGGCTCAGCGGAGCGTCACCTTGTTACCTGGGAGAGGGAACACAGTCAGAATACCGCAAGCTGTTTGCAGATCAGGGTGTTCCCGAGTGATCTGTTTAAACACATATTTTAGGTAACAAGATTCACTTAATCTTCGTTTTCTCACAGCAGTAAGCGAGCGTAATGCAGAGTGGGAGCGCGGCAGCGCTGCCGGGAGCTGAGCTGCGGTAACGAGATCTCATCAGATCTCATCAGAAAGCGCCAGCCCCACAGCACCCACCGTTCCGAGTGCCGCTTGCTCGGTCCGTTGCCATTTCATGTGGAAGACTCGGCACACGCTTCCGTCCCTCCGCGTGGCAGGTGCCCTCCTTTGCAGGGTCAGCAAACAAAGATTGCAGTTGTTTTCCTTTGCCATGTGGCCTTACATAATTCCGCGCTTGCTTTCAGACTCCACCCCCCCCGTTACGAAACACAACTGTTCCTTGTGGAAATGCCAGGGTTGTTTCCAAATGGCCTACCCAAGTCTCTCCTGGGCCGGGGGCAAGATCTCGTGGGAATTCCACCTTTCCCTTGTGATCCCTTTTGCTCCATCTTTATCTCGAGTTTCACCCCCCTCCCCCTCTCCCACTCTGTTCTTACCTCTTCTCTAGTCGCTTTGCCCATCGTTGCTTCTCTTCCCCATTTTCTTCTTTTCAGCTTCCCATCCGGTATCTCATTATCGGAGCCGTTGGAAGTGTTTGCTGCTTGGATGCTCTTCCAGCACGCACATTCTGGGCCAGCAACAGGTGACCTATTTGAAATTCAACGGCAGAAAGATCAGAGAGGCCCATGTTTGTCATGTGGGCACACCACCCATTCATCTCTTACCGTCTCACAAACACCGGCGCATTTAAGCAATCAGATGCCCTGTATTTCAGAGTAATGAGTCTCTGCCAGCTGTAGAGGAATAAAAACCTGCTGCTCCCTTACCACAGCTGTTAGAGATTTGTCCACAGAAAGGTTTGAACAGCTCGTTCTTTTTCCACGCATTTTCAAGTGGTACCTACCTGTGGACAAGCTACTGCGCCTGTCCCTCCTCCCTACACCCACTGACCCGGGGGTGAGCTCTAGGCAGCGTCCTGGCAGACAGCGTGCCCAGATGGCCCAGTGACTATTCTGAAAGCAAGGGAAGGAGCAGAACCACCCCCACCTGTGTTTCTGGTTGCCCAGTCCTCAGTCACCGACGGCCTTGCCTGATGCACAAGTTACTGGATTTGGCATGTTACCATTGGGAATGGCATCTGCCAGCCTCTGGAGGTGGAGGTCTGCCAATGAGGGTGGAAAAACCTGATTTCAGTCTGAGTGAACCACCTTTAACTCCTAAAACATGCTCTTCCCACCAGCGAGACTCCCTGCAGTACCTGAAGCTTCCTTCACAGGTTCTCCTCTCTGCTCCTGCGTGAGCTTCCCTACTTCACAGTTCATCACACGTTCTCTGACGTGTGTGATGGTACGTTAGCCAAAACCAGGTCTCTGTTTTCCGGGCTCGGTTCCCAGCTATACCAGAAAGTGGCAAGATTTTAGCAGGTCACAGGCCAAGGGCGATCGGGAACTGCCGGTGGTTTCTGCATTTCAAAACCCAATTCGTCCCTTCCAACTTGTCATTTTGGGGCACTATAAACCCCAGCCTGAAACCCTTCCGAAAGAGTTATCACATGGAACTAAGAGAAGCCAGGGTTAATTCCAACCATGGCTCCACAGCTGGCATCCCTAATTCTCCCTCTCTCTGTTCATCAAAGTCCCCCACAGTGGTGGCCTCACCACTGTGAGGAGCATCTGGAAGGGAAAGGAGGGTGGGAAATGTGGACAGCCGTGAGAAGGAGAGTGGATGTCTTCCTGCTCCCAGTCTGTGTTTCCAGAAGTAACATTTTTCTCAGAGAGATTAGAAGTTTGCAGACGCGTATCCAGAAACACGTTTCGGGTTCTCAGCTGGCAGCGCGGTGTCCCCCCACGGTGACTTTGCATCACAACCTGGCGATGTTGCCGCTGCAGCCCCAGGTTAGCATGAGGCAACGCGGTGGCTTTGCGTAAGGAGCCCGTGTCGGAACACCGTGACGCAAATGTCACGCCACAGGGATGCAACAGGTTTGTCCAGTAAAGCAAATCTTTAAAATTGGCACCAATCCCATGGCTGAATTTCTGGTGGACTTCATGATTTCCAGTAGGCTGGAAAACATTGGCGCCCTGCCATTTAAACAACGGTAGCGGATGTTTGGGGTTTCATTCCAGTGCACAAATACATCTAGCCAGTGGCTGGCAAGGCCTGCCCTGAAGTCAAAGCCCTGCTCAGAAAAGCAAAATCTTCCACTGGAAATCCAAACACAGGGCTGCGGAGCTGATGTCAAGTCAAGGCTAACGGAAAGTAAACTTGGAACTGGCGTGTCCCCAGCCCAGCCCTGCCAGATGGTGGTTCAAAACCCGCCTCTGCCTGAGCGAAGCTGTTACGTCCGTGGCCACTTACGGGCGAGAGGTTTCTCCTAGTGCCGTGCCGATGGCGCGAGACTGTCTCTCTTACACATGCAGCGCGGTCTTTGTAGGAAAATACAACCCCCCACGTGCTGTTTGCAGCAGGCAACGCTGTAGTGATGCTTCTAAGGCTAGACCAGAGGTTTACGGCGTGTCCGTGCGCGGAACAGCTCTGACGGACCGAGAGCAGAGACCGGTCCTGTTTCTGCCCGTCCCGGAGGTGGGGTTTGCTGAAGTCCTTGCCTGGAACAACCCCCCCGCCTTTGCCTTCTGGCACAGGGCAGAGGCTGAGCCCCGGCTCTGTCCTGCCTTCCCACACCTGAACCCAGCGCACAGGGGGGAGGTGGGGGCTGGGCAGTACCTGCTCTCCCGTTCCCACTCACGCGTGCGATGCAGATGAGCACCGAGGAACCTGCTCTGTTCCTGGCTTCTGCAAAAGCCACGCGCCCACCCCGGTTACTCTAGTAGAGCGTTCACACCCAAAAACTCTGGCCGACGCTCTCCAACAGCTCTGCTGCAGCCCCTGGGTAGCTTCGCCTTTGTCCCGACTTGGTCTCCCTCTTCTTGCTCTTTCCTATCCCCGCGTGTGTGAAGCAGCTGCTGTCTTACAAACACGGCTCCCGGCTGTCCACCACGGGCTTCAGCGCTTCGGTTTGGTGGCTTTTACCTCTCAGGGAAGTACTGGGCTCTTCCCTTTTGTTCTGCTCACACCCCCAGTGAAAGCTGAGTGAGCGTTCTATACACCTTTTTTCAGTGATGATGGTAATTTTTCATAAAGCCTTTTGTATCCCAGTGTTCACCATATGGATACTACCATGGGAATCAAGCCCAAAGTTCCTATTCCTGCTCTCAGCCTTAACCACTTACTGGCATCTCTCTCTCAGCGAGCACACAGAAGTCACCTCAGGAACAGCGCCGGTCCCTACCACGTGTGGTCCCTGGATGACTCCTGTCCGGCAGCGAGCTGCAGCAGTGCCGACCAGCTCCTGCGCCTTTCCACAGCAGGGCACGTAGTGGCCATCATCTCTATCTCCACTGCTTGTCTTTTCTATCTGGGGTACAAAGTTTGTCCAGAAAGGGCAAAAAATAAACATTTTGTGGGAACTTGGGTAAGACCTCTTGCCATCAAAATCCACGTGATATACAGGGGAAAAATAAATCAGCCTGGCGAGAGGAAAACAAAAGATGGAGGTATAGAACAGCGAAGGTGCAGAACATGCTGGTTCATGGCACTTTCCCCTATCCCAGAAAAAGAGAGAACCTGGTACCCACATCAGTTACACAAGATGTGTCCTGTGAGACATCCAAAAGGTTGGAAGGGACAACCATACAGACACTTTTACAAAAATCTGGGAAGTGGGACAGAGAGGAAGATGTTGTTTCTGCCTGAATACACAGACGGGTAAATGTAAAGTCCACCTTGAGCACCCTTTTGAATGGTGAAGCATAAGATGAGTAGGGCAGCCTAAGAAAATCCGTGCTTAACGCCTGGAACACCTCAGGCCTCTGATCTGCAGAAGTGCCCAGCGTGTTCGAGTGGGCAGACACGGAAGGGAGGAAAGGGAACTTTTGTCGGGCATTGTGTCATGGTGCAGTACCTTAACGGGTGGAGTCAAGTTCTCAAAACCCAAGACGTTAACGGCTCTTATAAAAGAGACTAATTCCCAGTGCTAGCGCCCACATCTTTTATGCTTTCATAGATGATGAGAATGTTTAGCTTATCAGGTCATAGAAAAGGATCTAAACCCTCAGGATTTAGGCACAACCACTCACTGATAGGTTTGATCAAGCCAGTCCTTAAGGGCTGGGTGTCTTTTACTACCTCCTGGAGCAACTAATTTGACACACTAGACTGGGTCTGGTGAGAAATCAAGACCCATTTGAGCCCTGAGGGCACAATGAGACAGAGAATTGCAAGCCCCACACAGCACTTGGCAGTCTGATGGTTCAGCAAATGCCAAGTATTACAACCTTGAACCCCATGTGAACATCAATGGGCCGAGCCTGCAGAGAGCAAATCAGGAACTGACCAAAGCTCCACGGCCCACATGTAACGTAAATTGAACATCAGTAGGCAGCAACAGCAGAGAGCAAATCAGCAGCCGAGCCAGACCGCCGCCGCCGCTCCCGCTCTCGGATAAAAGCTGGCTACCAGGCTGAGCTCGTCCCTGCTGGCCAGAGCCAGACCGGTTGTGCCAATGGCTCAAGACAGAGTGCAGTACTGTCACTCAGAGAAAGACTTTATCTTGTCCCCTCACAGTAAGAAGGTTCCCAAAAGGATGGCGTCCCTCCTGGAGATGAAGGAAATCTTCCGCAGCGCTGACGCGGTATGCTTCGACGTGGACAGTACGGTCATCAGGGAAGAAGGCATTGATGAGCTTGCCAAGTTCTGTGGAGTCGGAGATGCCGTCGCGGAGATGTAAGTGTCTTTGCTGTTCACTTCATACTTTCATGGAAAATGGTTAACTGTGACGGTGGAGTTACAATGGGGGTTAACTCAGAACCCTGTCGTAGGAGATTGCTGCGGTTTAAAAAGGATTTTAGGGATAGGAAGTGGAATTAATGGATAACAAAGTGACTTCATTTGGAATTGTGAAGCCACTCAGGAAAACTACTGACACAAATTCTCTAATGGCATTTCTTCCATAGACTAAGATCAAGCCTTAAGCTTGGCGAAGCGCTAGCAAACCTGAGGAGGAGGTGGGGGACAGGGGACAACTCTGTTAACACTCCTCTGAGGCTGGAGTTCCCACGGAAGCTTCCAGCAGAAGTCCTGCTGACTTCCCGGAATGGCACCTGAGCTGCAGTTCAGGAATGCTGGTCCCAGTGGCTCAGAGGCCCTCCTGGCAGGAATAAGGTTTTCCTTTGCCTCGCTGGTTCTCACAAGAGCTCCGATCTGTGCCGATCTACCAGCGGTTGCCACCAACCCTTCCAGTGGAGCCATCTTCTCCCTTACGGCATGAAGACGGTTCATCCTGGAACCTTTGGTCCCTTTCCACATTCCCTGGCATTCTTCTTTAACTGTTCCCAGGAGAAGCCTCAGCTTGTCAAGTGTCGCTGATTTGCTTTCTTTGGATCCCGATTTAGGACTCGCAGAGCTATGGGTGGCACTGTGACATTCAAAGCAGCTTTAACGGCACGGCTCGGTCTCATACGTCCCTCCTATGAGCAAGTGCAGAAACTAATCTCCGACAACCCACCTCAGCTAACACCAGGAATAAGGTAAGAAGAGTTTCAAATGATCTGGTGAAAAAAGCCTTCCGAAAGCACAGGCTGTACACCAACGCGTTCCTGTGACCCTAGTGAGGCTGTAAGCCCGCAGTGCTGGCTTGGATTGCCTTCCCACTCCATTCCCATGTCTGTGTGCCGAGCTTCTCTCAGGAGCTCGTACTGGCCCGAGTCCACGTCAAGTGGGAAAGCGTCCACGGGACAAAGATCGCAGCCTTAGTAACTAACTGGCATCTTGGCTGGCGAGCTCCAGTCCTGGCTCAAGGATTAAATGGGCATGGAAAATGATCTGGTTTTGACAGGTGGTGGAACTGGGAGGAGATTTGATACCCAGCCTGGATTGCTGGCTCAGTCTGTTCTGCAGTTACCGCTTTCTCGCACTCCCATGTACAGTCACACCCCTGGGCTCAGCTCGGGGGATCCCCTCTTTGGAGCCACTCCCTACAGAAGTCCCTAAAAAGCATTACAAACCACTAAGGGCAAATAGATCTATGTGTGTGTATCCATTCCTCTTTGCGTTTGGAATAAACACTGACTATTTAAACTGAAAAGGGTTTGGTTTTTGGTTTTGGTTTTTGTGTTTGGGTTTTTTTTTTCTGTTCAAATTGTTTTGAACAACTGAACATAATTTCCTTACTCCAAAATCTGGCCACGGCTCCAAGTCTGAAGTATTTCTGGCACATACCGTGGCCATAGCTGACACTGTGCTCGTCTTTTCCCCTTCAGCTGAAGCACATGCTCAGCTTTTTCTGTGGAAGGCACAGCTAGACCTCACTGCAGAGAGCAGTTTCCTTCTTCGAATCACGTGCTTTTCCTTTTCATTCCTACCCTTTCTTCCTTCTTTTCTGTCTCGCCTGCTTCAAGCCTCCACTTGGCATTTGTGCCGTTCCGGCTGATCTCCCTGCCCCTGGAGCCAAATCCTGTGGAACTCCCAGCTGCCCACAAGCCCTGCTGACATTAACTGGGCCTGAAAACTACTTTTTTGCTTCCTTTTCTGCAGCTGGCGCCCTCTGCTAGAGACAGCACTGATGTCCAGCGGCGGGGGAACCAGCGCCGGGCTACAAAACAGTTGCACTCTGGGCATTTTCAGCCCATTTCTGCACGCTGGCCCAGTGGCTTCATCTCCCTCGCATTCCCCGTTTTTCCTGCATTACAGATGCATTTTTTTTCTGTTGTTTTACTTCAGAAAAAAAATCTGAGCTGGATCTGTTCTCATTTGTTCAAGGGAATGAACATGAATGGTGTGGAGAGAGATCCTTTCTAGAGTGCTTGTGTCTGAGCAGCTGAGCACCCGTCTGTCTCTAGCCGGGGTTTGGGTCAGCTCTTTCCAAGCAAGGTGATGCACCAACTTGCAGGGGAGTGAGGAGCAGCCGCAGAGACGGCTGGAGCGGGGAAGCAGCACACATCCTACCTCAACTGGAGTAAGCAAGCACCGGCAGCCTTGCGTGGGAAAGGTGCCGTGTACCCGGTTATCCCAGTGCCGCCAGGCCCTCACGCGTGGCCTCTCTTTCTTCCCAGGGAGCTGGTGAGCCGGCTTCATCAACGAGGGGTCCAGGTCTTCTTGGTCTCTGGGGGGTTTCAGAGCATCGTGGAGCACGTGGCCTCGCAGCTGAACATCCCAACAGCAAACGTCTTTGCCAACAGGCTGAAGTTTTACTTCAACGGTGAGTCCCTTAGGTCTCTTTTCTCTGCTGGTTAGGGCCACTTTTGTTCAGGTGGTCAGCTGTCAGGCTGCAGGTCCCGCCCAACCCGAGTGACCTTGTTCCCATCCAGCGATCTCCAAGTACTGCAAAACCCCACCAGCAGCAGGACTTGGGGTCATTTTCCAGACACACAGAATAGAGCTGCAGCTGTGCCGGAGGCAGGACGTGCTAGGGGTGCTGACAGCAGGGTTTGTTTCCC